GGCACTGCAGTATAGACGGCAAACTTAGGCTTGATTTTATTGAAAAGGAAACTATATGATGTATTTTAGTTATTAAAAAGCTAAATTATTTCCAAGAACATCCATATTTCTGGCAGACTTTTGTGATCCTGAAAAACTCTTCAGTTAGCTTCACTTAAGCAGTTTTTTATTGACTTAGTTTAAAGCTTTTCTTTAGCAAATTGACTGAAAAGAGCCATGATTTTTTTAATATAATCACACACTTGCCCTTGTGTCTCCAACTCATCTTCAAATAAAAGGTCAGAGAATAAATACCAGATTAAATATAATAATTACTTTGAATGTTTTTTGTGATTATATCCTGGGCAATCGTTACCCAATGTCAATGGGAAGCAAGAAAACATAGCTTGAGATTTGTTTTAATTGAATGCAAGACAAGATGTGCTGTTTTTGAGGTCAGAGTGGTACATCTCTCTGAACGGAATATCTCCTAAAATTATCTTTGGAGCCATCACAATAATTGAAGCATCCTTAATATTGTTGGAAGGGCAAAATTGGGCCAAAAATCGGCACATTTATTTTGTTGTCTGAACCCAGCATCAGCTAACTCTAGAAATAATAAAATAAAATAAGTGATAAATTTCTGCAGTCAGCCACAGAATTAAACAAGTTACATAAACAGACCTAAAAAGATTATTTGCAAATGATTAGAAATAACACTTAATTATATTAGAACAGACAACACTCTGCTCCTTCAGGTTAAACGTTAAAAGCTACTGTTTCAAAACTATTTTTTTCTTATTTTTACAGTTTGTTTTAATAACAGACTTGGGAACTGGGCGTAAAACTACATGAAGTTTTTTTTTTTTTTTACTTTGGACCAACAACAAAGGTGCTGATGTGCTGAGAAACCAAAGGGGCTTTGATGTGCACATCACTCTGTTTATACTACACTAGGTGTGTGCAAGTGATTGTGATTCTTTCTGCGGTACCATCTCATACACTGTTTGCTTATGTGGTCGTAAATACCAAGAGAATTAATCACTTAGCCGTTATAATTGTTGATATGTGGTAACAGGTATTGAGAAATTACTTCAGAACTGCAGCTGCTTCTTCTTTTTGTGTGTGTGTGAGTGTTTGTTTTGAGACTATGATAATTTACTTTTCCTCAATTTTGGGCCTGCCAGCTCTCTGATTGATTCATCAAGTAATTTTTACTTAAAACCATATTCGAATGTTAAATAAATAACTCGTAAAACAAAACCGCAAACACAAGCAAACATATGTCTGACAATGTGCTTTAAGTAAATGTCTGCTGATTTAGTTTGTTTGATTTAATCTTAAATGAAGCTATCGTGTAAAATGTAACTGAGATTTTTTATTTTTAAATAATGCTAAGAACAAGATTGATGTTTTCTGTTTTCTATTATTAAAGCTGTTTGTTTGTGTGTTTTTGGTTTAATCAACTCCGGCAATGAGCATCCCCTGCAACACTTTACTGAGCAGAATTTTCCAATTTGGGGTAAAAATAAAAGGGGAAATTAGTGGTTGACGCTCAAATTGCTCCTTTGAAAAAACCAGAGCAGAAAAATAGGTTGTGTTTCCAAACATTGGAGCAAAGCCAAGCTGCATGGTTCTGCATTGTTTTCTGCTGTTGTACAAAGTGTGAGACCCAAAATCACCTCTGATACCTGAGAACAGAACCTCTGACGAGTGAAACTTGCTTTTAATGGAACAGTAACACAAATGAAGCTTATTAATATGTGTTAATTATTATCAAAAGCCACCATCTTTATGTTGTCCAGTCCCAGACTCTACTGGATAAATGTAAATGTAATCATTTGACATAAAGTACGGGGGCAAATAATAAAAGTAAGTGGCTCTCTCAGCACTATAGGAAAAAGTAGCAACATCACAGAGGAACACAGAGTGCTTTGCAATCTGTCCTGCGGTTCCACCTGGTGCTTAACGGGTCTTTTCATGCTTTAGTGAAAGTAGGCTAAAAACCGCAGGTCTCAGACCACAGGACCACAGGCTCTGCCTGCGCAAGAACACCTCCTGATGACTGGAGATCAGTTCTTGCCTGTCACCATCTGGGGCTGGCTCGCTGTTGTAAACTAACCCACCATTATGAAATTATCTCTGCTGTTGACGTCTGAGGCTTTGAGCTCATTCTACTGACTATGAATGAGTGACCACAAGCCCACAGTTATTCAAGGAAAACTAGAAACGTCTCTTCAGTCTCAAAGCTAACAATGTCAGACAACTTGCTTTTGAACATTGAGCTTGATAAAAGATACATTTATAAAGCAGGTTTAAAACAAAGTTTAAACGAGTTGTGAAGACAGAAGCCATGTGTAAGGTTCAGCTTGACAGCTGTAACACACTGATCAGCTTTTTGTTTTATTTACCATAAACCAGTGTTTCCCAAAGTTGGGGTCGGGACCCAAAGTGGGGTCCCGAAACATCAAGTTTGGGTCCTGAAAAGATTTTCTGAATTAATGACATTTTTGCCTTAGTTGTTACAAAGGATTGAGGTTAGTGTATTTAAAATGGATAAATGCAGTATAAAAAATTGTTACTATGCCCATGTTTTGTTGACCTGATACAAATACTTATCAACCAAAAATAGCTGGGGGCACAGGTCTCTGCTACTGTTACTTTGTGGGTCAAAAGCTGAAAAGTTTGGGAACCAGTGCACTTTGGTTCCCAAAGTTGGGCTTGGGACCCAATTATGGGTCATGAAGCTCCTTGGATAATCTCCAGAAATCAATTTAAAGGGTAATAAAATAATTGCTGATGTAATATTTTCCCCATAATTATTACAAAAACACAAAATAAGTATAAATAAGTATTTATATTTGTGTACAAGCTGTTTAGATTGTCAAAAAGCCTGTGTTTTTAGGGTTATTAACAACGTTTGTGTACTCAGACCAGGAATATTTGGGGTCACAAGTTTTTGCCATGGATATTTTGTGGGTCAGAAGATAAAAAGTTTGGGAACCACTGCCATAAACTACAGAATGTATTGATAGAGAAAGCAACAAAATGTGTTGAACAGAGAAAGACCACCACAGCCTACTGAGAAAAACAACTTCACAGACGGGTTGGAAAGGTGTTGCTTCACATTAGAAATGAGTTTGAGCTGCTTTGACACAGATCTTTGCACCATCTCTTTGGTACAGTTAAATAGGCCAACGTTTCAACATCAAAAACAGCAACGTTTTTCTCTCAAATCCACTAGTAAGTCAACGTTAAAGAGCTAACTTTTACTCCGACACAATTATTTTAGTTTTAAAATCGAGGCTGATGTCGTTTTCTGATAAAAAATAAAGAAACCTTAAAGTGTTGGAAATCAAGACACGTGGCAAGGAGTAACTAAGATATTAATAAACTTAAATAATGCAAAGCTACACAATAGTCTCTAATTAATGCCAAATAAAGAAAGACACTTCAAAATCATCAAAAAGAAAATTAAATGAAAAGAATCAAAAGCAAACCACTAGACTAAACTATTGAGATCCAACTGGTCAACCATCATTTTGCTGCATCTTTACATTAACTGATTAAGGAACATTTGACAGCTTTTGTGGCCAATTTAAATGATCAAGTAAATTTGCCTCGCATTGTAATATTGTAATAATTAATAAAAACAGTTAATTTTTTGTTTGTTTGTCAACAACATCCTTTTGTTGGGGTTGCAATATTTCCACAGCATGCACAGTATTTTGGTGTCGACTTTTCTGTTTCTGTGGTTTCCTCTTGTTCTTTGACCCATTTCTGTTGGAGACAAAACAGCTTCTCTACAAATTCACGTGTTTTTTAACTAACTGAACCATTCAAGACTTATGTCTAAAGACAAAACAAGCTGTAAGTGGTGTGTTTAACAGCATATTATTAGTTTTAATTGATAAATCTATCAAATTAGCAGTTATTTTACCATTTTATCTGATAGACACTACTAGTACTAAGTAAAATTTATGAATAGTCACGTATCTGACTAGTTCAGACCAGGGATATTATAGTTAACTAAAACTAACTAAATAATGAAAACTGAAATTGAAAAAACATTTTTTGTTAAGTAAGTAAAATAAATAAAAACTAATAAAATTAAAAAACGATAAACTTTAATATTTTTTACAAAACTAACTAAAACTAACTGAAATTATATCCTTAGTTTTAGTGTTTGTCAGTTTTTTTATTTTTAAATTTTTTAATCGAGTAGTTTCCCATTTGCTGTGAGCAGTAACAACACTTGTTTACAATCTGCTGCTGTTCAGCATCGTCTGCTAAATGACGACAGCAAAAGTTGGGAGAAAGTGGCAACGTACACTTTGAGATTTCTTCGAATATGACTGCGAGAAAAATCAAAGCAAGTCTTGTAGTGGAAACAGGTGAGAAAACAGGTGCAATGGTTCTCAAGGGAAAAACTGCATGAATCAAGCTCAAACAAGATGGCTAACTATGACTATCTTCACACACTAAATTCTCTCAGTAGCTCCCATGAAAAACAAGCAACAGGTTGGAGACAACTATTGTCATTGTCCTAAAATAATCGCCCAAGTTCTTCGTTGGCAAATATGAGTTACACAATTATTTTAGTTAGGTGTCACTATAATGGACTGCTTTAACTAGTGACCAAATAGCTGCTGGTTAGTTAACTCCCAGGAACATCACAAGCTTGAAGATGCATTGGCAAATATATTTATTTAAACTATAAAAAACTAATACTATAACTAATAAAAACTAAACTAAAAATAAGCATTAAAATGCAATAATAACTAATAAAAACTAGCAAATCCACTGTAAAAACTAATTAAAACTGAATTAAAAGAAAAAGGTTACCACAAAATAAAACTAAACTATAATGAAAAATCCAAAACTGTTATAACCTTGTTTCAGACTTCCTCTGAGGTTGTTTTTTTCCAGTCTCCAGGGCTCAAGAGTCCTGACTGAAACCAAGAAGCATCCAGACATCTAAAGATTCAAGTTTCATTAAAGATTCAGAAAAGTCAACTTACTTTTTTGACAGTGGCTCTGCGTCCAGCAGCGCTCGCTGAAGTGTCCGTTGATGGTTGTGGCCTGGCAGGTGGTCTTTCCAACGGACGCCCCTGGGCAGACGTCGCCGCACTCTCTGTCGTTTTTGTTGGCCATGATGTAGTTGTCCTCCACCGAGTCCAGGATCTTGGACCAGTCCAGTGTGGAGAGGTAGCAGAGGTCCGGGTTCTTCTCGATCCTCACGGCTCCTCTGGTGATGTTCATCAAGCTGTGGAGGCCGATCTCTCGCAGCTGGAGCATCTCGAACAGCACCAGAGCGTAGTTGAAGAACAGGTTGTTGCCTCGGATCACCGTCAGGTTGGGGAAGAGATTGCTGAGGCTCTCCATGCCGTAAACTCTGAAGAGCAACAGGTAGTCGGTCACCACTCTCAGCTTGGGGAAACTGACGCCTCGGAAATCCTCGGGCTTGGTCTTAAACATGAGTAAGATCTTCAGGTGGCCTTCGATCACAGTGCAGTTCTCAAGCGTTCGCAGGTTGGTCACATTGTTGCGAATGTCCTTGCTTGGACAAACTGGGGAAACAAGCAGAAGTTCTTTTAAAAAATCTTTTCAAGTGTTTGGAAAGTCTAAATTACAAAGCAAGGCTAACAATATAGAAAGAAATACTCTAGTCTCAAAGTTTGTGGATTACTACTGCTAAACATGAGCGGTGTATTACACAAGATATCTGCTTTATAAACAAGACATGATCTCAATGAGTAAAAAAAATAAAATAAAAAAACAACCTTTGGTTAATTAGAGGGGATATTTTATTTTAAAACATGTGGCTGCGTCTCTCGTCTTTGAGGAGGAACAGACCAACTTCTCTGACACTTTGTTTAGCAATCACATATCTGACTGTGAGCTACTGTCAAATATGGAGCGCTGCGCTCATCCTTGGTTACGCTGCGCCGTGGAGCTCTGCAACTCGAGACCAGGAAAAAACATTAGCTAATGCAATAAAAATATGTGTCCGTCAGGGCGACTGCATCGCTAATGTTCACGCTTCGCAACGGTACTAGATTTGTGGCTTCATCAGTCCTCGCCCAGACACACAAATCTTGCTAGATGAGAATACCTGAACCATGTTGTTGTGCAGTTGGGTCGCATTTTTTCCTGCCTCGATCATTTCCCACTGTACTACATCAGTGGTGCAATATGAGACTTTGATCTAGTCCTGTGGCTGGCCAGCATAAATCTGGCAACCCCTTCTACAACAAACCACACACATTTTTCAGACAGACAATTTTTTTTTAAATTTACAATGACTTATTCAGCGAACAGACAAAACTCAGAAATGTTACATCCAAAGTTGTAATCCAACAATTAAAGCCCATGTGAGTCCAGTGGTTTTTTCTGGGGTCATGTTCTATAAAATGAGGTAAAAATAGTAGAAAGACTGATATTAATCACACAAAAACAACCTGTGGTATCCTCTAATCCAGTTGGAGGTGAGTTTGCATTATTCATTAGCAGCTGTTCTGTCTCATCTTAGATTCATTACTCAAATCTATGACAGAATGCATGTCGCCAACTTTTAATGAAGATTATCTTTTATTGCTGATTTTAGCTTTGCTCGTTTCAGCTATTTTTCTGCTAATTTAAACAATTGTGTGCTGCTTTTAGCTTATTTCTGCTACTTTGGGATTTTTATTTTTTTTCAACTGTTTTCCACTAATTTCAGGTATTTTCTATGTTTTAAGCAACTTTTTAGCTAATTTAAGCTTTTTTCAGCTTAAACAGGTGTTCTGTTTCTTCTTAGCAATAAGAAGATAAAAACTGAACATAATAAAAACAAGGGAGAATTTTGGACAAATTATTTTGTTGGCACGTTTTAATTTGTAATTTGAAATACTGTATGAAGTAAAGCAGTTGTTCAATGATAAAGCTCTGTTTATATTGTATAAAACAATAATTGTTCCACACTTGATCTACTGTGTTGAAGTCTGGGGGAGAGCATGTAAAACAATCACAAATTTATTTTTTATACAGAAAAGAGCTGTAAGAATTATCACCAGAAAACATTACAGTCAACCATCGAATACATTATTTTGTAATTGAAATTATTGAAATTTTATGAGTTGGTTGATTATAATATCTTACAGATTATGTATAAGACTCATTTTAAACATCGAGTTATATTTTGTTAAAAGAGAAAGTTCTTATAAACTTAAGGGACTTGAGATGATTATAAAATCTAAATTTCGAACAAATTTGAAGGACCGATGTACTTCAGTTCGAAGAATAAGATTGTGGAATAATCTGGAGAGTGATTATAAAAATGCTGGTTCAATGTGTTTAAGAGAATGATAAAAATAAGTTTGTTGAAGAAATATGAAATTGTATAATGTATATCAAAAGTTGTCGTTTGAAAAGGAATTGAAGCTTTTGTTTCTTGATTATTATCGCTTAATTAATTTTGGAAAAAAGGGGCAGATTAGGTATTTTCTTCTTTCTGCCTCCTTTCATTTGTGTATAATTTTTTTAATTTGTTTTTAAATTAAATGAATAAATTCATTAAACTAATTTCATTTTTAAAGAACTGGTAGACAGTCAATCAAAAGGTGTCTGTTGACACAAGTTACTGGCCCTTTTTGCCACAATGACATCAAAACAACCAATTTACAACAAGCTACCAAAAACACATCTCAAAAATGAGCTACGCAGCTGTGAGTTAACGTGTCCACCACTGAACAAGTAGCAGATGAAATAGTTGATAAGGAAATACTAAAATTTGCAGCGTGGATGTGGTTTGGGTTTTGAAGCTTCGATAACCGACTAGCAGTGAGAACTTATAACTGTTCTATCATTGGAAAAAGCTCCACTTGATAGAACATTCTGATCATATGAAAATGAAGCATCTCTAAAAGTTTAAGCCCTCTATAGAAAACTTGGCCTTATTGGCAAAAACAACTTGGGACAACAATCGAGGTCCATTCAACACTCCTCTCCCTCACTTCCGACGTCCGTCATGGCGCCTCCACGTGATTAGGTGACGTAGTTGCAAAGGGTCAAAAAGAAGTCAGTTTTTGCATTATGTTAAAATGGTTTTATAGCATTACAATAAAAAATCATCACAATATTTTTCCTTTTCCTATTAAATATCTCTTCTATAAATCTCCTCAGCATATGTTCAGTGTTACTGACACTAATATCCACAATAATAACGGACTACTTCCTTTGCAGATGCAGAGTGGGACATTCCACTCTCAGTTTTCCAGTTCACAAGCCGTGAGCACAGCTGGAGGTGTGCGGCCTGGTGGGGGTGGAGGCTGATGTGTTTACTGTCCGACCCACCACTACGCCAGCCACATCAGGCCAACCTGTCAGCCATGTTGTGGGGGGGAGGCGTAACGACGTGTGCACCTCTTTATGGCAGCAACTCATTTTACACCTCCTGCTGGATAACAGTACAAGGCAAACAGCAGCCTGAACTACAAGCGCCTCCCTCCATGACCTCAAACAGAACTCTCATGCTGTAATTATGTTGACTTAAAGGCATGTTTTAAGTACCTAAAGCAGCTCAGAACATTAAAAAGTAGTCTTTTTTTCTTTACTTACACATAAATGCCTCCTTATGCATGCTATGGCAGGCTTTACTCTTGTCAACTAAAAATATTTAACAGCAAATTGAACATGTTTTTTAACCACACTAACAGTATTTGGCAGCAACTCTGCAGCAAGTGCAGTGCACTCCAAATTCATCAACATATGCAACCTTAAAGAGAGCCTTTCCTTCACAAGTGGGAAAGACGAATCATCACGGGGCGCTGAGTCCAAGCTCCTATCAGTGTACACTTTCAGTCAGGCCAGTATTTTTAGCACCACATTCCCAATAGAGAATCTAATACAGACCAGTCGTACCGATAGTGGCTCGCATTGGAAACTGGAACAGAACAGTCTTGGTGTGTAAATGAGGAATTTCGGAGCGGCAGCAGAAGAAGAAGAAGAAGAAAAAAAAAACTGTCCGAGCCGCATAAGGGAACAAAAGGTTTGGTAGAAGAAAGAATTTAGAAAACAAAACTCAGCAAAACAAACCAGGTGCCCCCACTCCCTCCCCCTATATCCAAATGCTATTGTAAAGGCAAAGCCAAATCTTGGAGGCAATACAAAGGCTGCTATGGTGACAAGGCGAGCCCTAGGTCTCCATACATTCCTTACTTTAGCCTGAGATGGACGAAAACACCCGAGGGGCTCTGAATAATCAATCAGAGCTCTTAAAGAGGCAAATTTATATTGCAGATGTATGTACAGACGTCAGCACGTTTAAGGAAAATAAACTTTAAATTAACAATCGTTTTAAATTTAACAGAATAAAGGAAGCAAGACATAAAACTGACAGTAACACAAAATGTTTGTTTTATTTTATTAATGTTACCTTGCCTTTTCATTAATATTTGCTTTATCAACTCCTCTCTTTATCGTTTTAAAGGGTTTTCTGCACGATGCTGCGTTCAGATCCAGTGGGTGGTGTTCGAAGGTGGTCTGTTTCCCATTAATCTGACCACAATCAAAGTTAATGAGCCGTAAAGGAAATCCATAGAGCTTGATCACATTAGAGAGTCAGAGTGGGGGGAGGGAATAAACCTACAAGACCTGACAGCTGACCTTGGTGACCCTATTTATGCAAGCTTTATAAAAACATATGCTGCAACCTCATAAAAATACAAAATAAACACATTAACCTGTAAACCTATCGCATAAATAACATTTAAAGATATCTAAATATACTAGAGCTTGAGCATCAGCCAGATCAAATCTGAAAAGTTTGAACGAGACAATCCTTTATACTCTCACTATATACACAAGCATCAACAAGCATCCCCCGACCGTTTCTGATCGAGATGTAAGTGGTTGTGGGTGGAAGGTGTGAGGGCTACTGCTTGTTGTGTGCATTTGTAAAGAGAGGCCTCAGTACATCTGCAGGACCACATCACTTTAGTGATTGCACCACTTCCCTTTTCAAAGTTTCGCAGTTCTGCTCCCTTCCCTACCTAAACTAAAATGAAGCAAAAAAACAGAGAAAACAACATGCAAACTGACTCAAGATTAAACCACTAAAACATTTTACTTACCAAAAGTTAAGACCATCCTTAAAAATGTGTCTCTTAAAAAAAACTTTGCTCAAAAAAATAAAGAAATTTGTGTTTGGTAGATTATTTCTTTGATTTTGGCAATATATTTTACACTGTTGGAAAGCCTATTAAATTCCCTTTTAAATGGTGCCACATTTGTAAGGAATATGCTTTTGTAGGATGAGCTGCGTGGGTTGCACACATGAAAAACTGGCCAAACCTTCCCTACCAAACGGCTTATTTTGCTGTTATTGACACTTTTTTTAGAGCTTCTGGTGCTGCCAATCAGGTGTCCAATATAAGATTTAAGCCTTGTTACAACAAAATAATCTGCCAAACACAAGTTTTCTTATTTTTTGTGCTAAACATAGATTGAAACCAAAGTTTAAAAAGTGTTTTGTATTTAAATTAAGTTGAAATAAGAAGAAGTGAGAGCTCTTAATATGTGCATGGTAGGGTTGGGCAATATTGGCAAAAAAAATTAATCATGATTAATTGTGGTATTTAGCTGATAATGATTAACCCCCTGGAGTCCCTGTATGTCCTGGTTACATGACCAATTTAGTGGGAAAGATTTGCTCTTTGTAAAAATCTGTTCCAAATTGTGTCAAAATTACAGACTTCAGGCTACACAGTTTTTAAATTGTGTTGATAGATAATAAAATTACAGATTTTTTTTTAATGTTCATCATAACTGAAGCAGAGAGGAGCACCAGGCAGACTGACTGGCGAAACCTCCAGTTAGTCCACCTGGTGGCATTAATCGTATTAATCCTCAAGTGCCAAAAAATAATCAATTGTTTTTCTGACGATTAACTGCACACGATACGATTATACCCAACCCTAGCGCATGGTGTATCAATATCTTGCATCTATGTGGTTTGGACCAATGATGACTTGGTTTTTCACTTGCTTCCTCTGATGATTAGCAAACCAATACTTCGATTAGCAAACCAATACTTCGAACCTCGCACACAAGAATTTTACCCCACTTCATTTCAGATCAACAACTCGTGTTAATCTGAAAACTCTGCGAGCCAGCTCAATATTTTGGCACTAAAAATGTCAAGTGTCACGCTGAAACAGCCAATTTAAAAGGTAATCATCCACACTCGTAACGGCCGCTCAAAGAACTTTGGTTTCATGTGGGTGTTTAGGACACTTGCAGTGAGGTAATAATTACCTTTTAAGTGTGAAAGGACAATAACAAGCACGTTTCCTTCCAACAGAGGCACTGTGTCAAAGGTAAGGACAAAGACACAACAAGGCTCGCTTGTCGGACGTGTATTGGAAGAGGGTGCGCCACACAAGTCAAACATTCATACAGTAGGTAATTTTCAAATATGAACCTGTAACGCTGCGTTCGACAGTCACTGTTAAGTTTGTCGAGCACAAAACCCTCTCTTTTGTACACTTGTCAAAGCACCTGAGACTGCAGTGGCTGTTTGCGGGTCGATGTTTGGGAAATGGTACTTTCATCACCTTACAATTGCTTGCCCTCCTCGTCAGTAGGTGTAAATCAGAGCTCAGAAGCCCGCTGGACCGCTGCCTGATTACAAGTCTTGTTCTGACCAGAGCGGTCCACAACAACAGGGTGCCGGAGGCTTCGTGGCAAGCTCCTGCTGTTTGACAATCTTGTTTCAGTGATGTGTTCCCAAACGCACAAAGACAACAGACATGAGTTTATTTATTTTTTTAATGCAGTTTTCAGCCACAGTCAGCTGTGCAAAAATACTGGAACTTATATTTCATGTTACAACTGAACCGACAGTATAAAACACGCTGATTTTAACAAACAAAAATTTAGGTTACATGGATAAAATGGCTCTTAAGCGTCCAGTCGATGCCAAGCAAATTAAACCAATTTACACAGCCACTGAATATAAGCTTTCATTAATAAATGAAACTTTCCATCAAGCTGAGCTGGACAGCGACCAACAAGTAGCTCAGAAGGTTTCCTGACTACAACCTTGGTCAGTTCGACTTATGAAACCAGCCAGTGTGAGGCCCAGGTTCCACTTCGCTCGTCTGTGGTTCATTCAAGTTTGAGAGGCGTGAGGGGGGGAGGCCGCAATGCAATTACACAACTTGTTTTTTTGATTCATGTCTTACGATTCTTGCTCAAACTGGTTTGATGGCGTCCCTCTATTTATTCTTTGCTGCAAAATCTGAAAACGGGTGAGAGAACCTGCACCTTTCTAGGCTAAACTACCTTTAAATAATGCAGCAGAGTAAGTTTCAACACTGCCTCAGTCAAAGCAACAATATGCAAATATCTTACACTAAACATGGGAGGAGCATCTGTTACTCTGAAACTAATAAAACGCTATTAGTTCATAGTAAAACCTGAAAGCTTCTATAAAAGTCACCACACATAAAACTCTAAAAATGAACATACACCAGGTTGTTTACAAATTCTTTTAAATCCCAATCACTTCCAAACATTCGTGACTCTTTTGTACTAGACATTTGCGGTAATTAAACAAGACAGATCCATTTAAATGTGCAGAAAGGGAGATCTGAAGACTCGTTATTACAACAAATCAGTTGTGATGCGGCTTAATTATCTGGCAGCTTGTTTGATAAATACTTTAGGAGGGAGTGAATTTCACAGTGTGCCGCTCAAACCAAAGTAATAACAGACTTGACTGAAAACAAGCCAACTGTTTTCTCCCATAACAAGACAAATGGGAGCAACATTTCAACAAGTTTCCTGGTGTACGCGACAATAAGCAAACTGAAATCTTTGCTCTTTACAATAGGTTACAACACAGGTTTGCAACACTTTTCCAAAGTTTGACTTATGTCAAAATTAACAGCGTAAAACTAAGTGTGCAAACACAAAAATATAAATAAATAAAATAAAAATGTCTCCCAGCAGCTGCAAATAAATTCATTCATTCTTATCACCTGTGTTGGTGGATATGAAGGGGTTGTTTTGAGGCTGTAAAGAGGAGCTAATTGTTATATTCTTGAACTTGATCACAGCAAAGAGCCAAAGCTCTCCAACTACACAACCAATTACAATTTTACTAAAGTCTCCGACTACTTACTTTATTTGGGATTTTGTTTACAGTGCCTGCAGACTCCCACAGTCGATAAGTGGCAACCTTTGTCCCTTCACTGCATGCACCACCGCTGCTGCTAGCCGGCCTTTATCAATCCACCATCACAAGTAAAACAAGAAATCTGCACATGGCAGGATTTCAGCAAACGATATCCACTAATCACTATGTCTAGGATTTCTGTACAGGGGAGCTTTTGGTCTTTTTTTTAACCTCTAAAGAAAACACCTATTTTCTATGTCTAGTAGTGAAAAGAAAATATCCTAAATAAACAATGTATGTAACACAGTTTGTAAGTATTATTTATACAAATCAAGGCATATCTCATCAGATATTTGCCTCATTTGCATATTCCTAAAAACAACAACAAATGGTGTTATGAGAGGAAATATGTACACAAGTTCTTGAATATTAATTTAAAATGAAGATATTCATCAAGATAAAAGTACTTACTAGCAAAGCAAAAGTTTTCAAATATTGTATCCCCTTTACAGTAATATTTTCATAAATAGAAAATTCATGTTGCTACAGGAGGGTCTGTTTATGTACATTTATACACATTTGAAAGAATTTCTAAAAACACAATAAAAACTTTTTGATTTTGATTTTTCTGGTAAAAGTATTTTTCAAATGTATTAAAAGGTTGAATACATTAATTTAAATCTCATGTCAATAAAACCTTTCTAAACTTTGCTCAGAAATGTCCATATTTCTATATTT